CAGTAACTGTAATGAAATGTATAGTAGCTACAAGAACAGTAACCTTGGATATGACTCCACTGTTCCAGAAAGAAAATATGACAGGTACGTATCAGATGTCTGTTGCAGCACCCATGACAAGTTTTGCTAGGCGCTCCATGCATTATTCAATTAGGGCCTTTTTTACTTCATGCATAAAAATTCGCTTGTATCTCGAAATCGCCACATAGAAATTCAAATATCCACATACAATTTATTCGTAAGGTGATATGCTACACCCATAACATGCTTTTTCAATCCAATTTTTGTAATAAAATCTCCAACAAGGGGCATGAAAATCATTAGAGCGTTGCGTTTAGATGAAATTTAATTTGGTTAGGCTTTTTTGACGTATAATCTCAAGTAGTTAAAAAGTAGCCTATATATAAAATTACATGTTCCATGTATTTTGCTGACAAATTCCGTTAAAATGTCTAAATCATATCTTACCCATATGTCCTCTGTGACACGGACCTTACTGCCTTTTATGAAAAGAAAAAGTTATTTTTAAATTTTTTACTCATCCGTTAATTAACCGATCATCGGTCAATTAACGGTTCGTGCTTTAAAAACCATATCATCCGTTAATAGGCAAAATTTACTTTACTGTATAAAGTTAAATATTATTTTAATAAACTCATTTCAGGATAACTTGTCAAAGATAGACACCACCAATATCCACACCAATGAGGAACAGATGAGGGAGAAGGTAAATATCATTTTCTAAATACATTGAAGCAATAATTGGATTCGAACATGACTGTTTCATGTCTTCTATAAACTGTTAAAAAAGTTCACCCCTATTTATTAGTCTATACAAAACCAGATTATATGAGTAATATGTGACATCATAGTGGCAGCCCTAAGCCATAATAAATATTTTTTTAAAAACAGGTTGAAAGTGATGAGAGTGAAGAAGGCCCTCTATCAGGTATCAGTACCCCTGAAAGTAAGCATATTTTCAATTTTATAAAAGTCATTGTATGTATATGATCTAAATTGTATTATTGTCCCTGTTTAAGTTATCCTTAATCATGGAATAATCTTTTTTTCAAATGGTACCTTTAAATTTTTTAAATTCTTCACATAAATTAGCTTTCAAATAAGGCGCCATAATTGAAATTGTAAGATACATCCTATTATTAATTATTTTTTTAGACGTTATTTTAAAAATTATCAAAATTCTTAATTTTAGTTGACCCAGACCTGTATGATCTTCATGAAAGCTTGGATATTGATGATGTGGAGTTGTCCACAATAGGACCAGTGGATGGCGAACTTTTTGTAGGCATGGAAGTGTAAGAAGGTCAGGATGATGAACAGGTCATTCTATTGCTTGAAGGTATAAATTTGAAAATAAATAAACTAAAATAAAAACTCAAAAGCTACACACCCTTGTAATGTTTAAGATTTCGGTATATACACTCACAATAGTAAAAATGTGGAATATCGAGAAAATCATATGCAAGAATTATGGTTGTAAAATGTGAAGTTAGAAAATGTATTTTTACTCCTTTATCCCAACTGTTGATGAAAAAATAATGTTAAATCTCAATTATTCAAATGTAACATATATTTGAAAAGGAGGAAATTAATTTTAAATTGGAAAATTACTTATTTATGATTAATAGTGTATATGCTAATCATATGAGGATTTCAGATGATTAGCAACTATCTGGCAAAATATGAACAGGCCTGTAGCGAGGGGGGTCGAGCGAAACTCACTCTGGCCATAATATATTTAAAAATAATGCAGTATTTCACCATTCTTAGTACTTTTCAAAGGATTTTGTGCAATTTTTATGCTATTTTTGTAAAATGTGAACCCCCTATAATTTTTGAATTTTAAGGAGATAAATCACCTGGAAATAAGGCTCCCATCAACAGCACACCATAGGTGAATTTGATTAACATTGCCGTTAATGCTAACAGGAGCACACATACAGAGACACCAATTGCAAGGAACCCAAATGCAGCATCAGTGGCTCCTAGTTGATCAGCTGTTTCTGCAAGTACAGGTAAATAAAAAATCAATATTAAAAAATAAGCATATAAAAAAATGCATCCTATACCAGATATAACAAAGTATTACGGAACCAAATACATGAAATAAAGTCTTCTTCGCGCATTTGCAATTGCAATAAAGGTTTCAAGAATTTCCTTATAATTATGAGTTTATTACTGTATGTATTTGAATGAAGTTTGTATGATGTACATGTCTTTCCTCGTCCTATGTTGAAGCTGAGACTATATATATCTAATAGGTGCGGTTGGCGCGACACGGGAGATACAACTCTAGGATAAAGTTTACAATTCCTTTTATCTGTTTATGTTAGTCTCAGGTTGAAGTAAGTAGGTTTTCAGACGCAAAATGTAATATTTCCGCTATAATTGAGGTGTAATACTAGTATATGGAAATGATCAAATATGTATCAGCATTTTTCAATCTGCGTGGATTCCGCGAAAGTATACGATACGATTCATACCTGTATGAAGTATGTTGAAACGGCCAAGATCTGGTTATATAGTGATACATGAGCGGCCTTGACAGAGCAAACCTACTAACCCACATACGTGTGCTACTAACCTAGATACGTCTAGCTAATTATCCCAACGAACGAAGTTCGGTAGGGATATAGTGAAGCCCTCCGTCCGTCTGTCTGTCCGTCAGTCAGTCAGTCAGTCAGTCCGTCCGTCTGTCCGGAAGATAACTCAAATACTCTAGTAGATGGATTTTCTTCATATTTAGTGGAATGATGTATATTGGTGAATACAGTAGTTTTTCGCAAAAATCATAAATTTTTCATTCTAAACCAAAGTAATTAATATTATTGTTTGAAATTTTGGAAGTATATTCACAACATTTATCTATTTCACATATATTCCGTGTTTTTCATCCTGACCCCCAGGGGCCGTGTATGGGGGGACAGGAAAACAGAAATTTTCGCTAATTTCTAGATCTTTCTGAAGTATAGCTTTATTATACTCAAATGAAAGGCAATTAAGAGTAGATTGCAAATATTGTATCTTTTTTCTGATTCGAGCCTCGTAAAATTCAAAATGGCCGTCTAATGTATGATTTCGCAATAATTTTTTGATCCCTTCAAAGTATGGCTATATTATACTCAAATTGAAGGAATTTTGAAGTAGATCACAATTATGGTATTATTTTTCAGATCTGTATCTTCGAAAATTCAAAATGGCTGCTTTGCAGGAATTCGCAATTCTAAAATCTAATTTTTTCAATTTTAACCAAAGTAATGAGTATAATTGATTGGAATTCGGTAATTGATATTTTGTTCGTTGGGATTTGCTACTCCGCGGAGTTGCCGTTATCTAGTTTGCATAACGTTGTTGCAGTCTGGATCCACTTTCTGGCTGTTTAAAAAATGGCATTTATTAGTCTATAACTCTGCTATTAGTTGACAGATTTCGAAATAAATAAGACCATGGATTTGCTCGGAACTAAAGCTTTCTGATGGTTCCACTTTGTAGTGACCAAATTGCGAGAAAACTGAAGAAATAGAGGGTAAAGGCGATTTCTCAAATTCCAAGTTTCACATAAGAAATCCTGCGTTCTGATTGGCCGGCTTCTCTTGCAGTCCCAATCCACTTTAGCTCTCCTAACTCGCCGTTTTAGAAATGACACTTATCGGTCTTTTTCTCCGCCATTTCTCAGTCGATTTCTAAAAGCATAATGTCATAGTGAAGCTGACAAAACTAGCTTCCCGATTGTATCACTATTGAAGCGATCCACGTGCAATAGATAGGTGGAATTCGAGCGTGAAAAAGTTTCTCCATAATCAAAGATTCACTAAAGAAATACGGAGGAATCGGGCATTCTGATTGGTCAGTTTTCCTGCATTCTCAAGTCCCTTTCCCGACTCCAAACTGAGTTTCTAGAAATGGCACTTGCTACGTACATACGTCTCTTGGTTTTGTTTCTTGACGAATTGGTTTCTGGACGAATTTATAGCATCATTGTCCGTCTGAGAAACGGTTTTGCGAACGGTACTTAGTACTTTGTACGCGATCTAGTAATGACTAAAACATGAGACTTAGTTTTCCCTAAAACGTCAGTGTGAAGGATGAATCAAACCCAAAATGCATGGAAGAAGCTAAGACGATGTTTTTATGAAAACAATAAAATAAACCTGAAAACCTGTCTGGTTATTCTCGCCTCAGGAATGTCTGAAGAGCACCTAAACCCCAAAGTACGTTTTTGTCTTTTGCCTAAAATAAGTGAAACTTTGAAAACCCGCGGGAGTAATCAAACCCAAAATGCACACAGTAGAATTTAAATGCACGCGAAGAAACGTTTATTTTATATATGTTCTTCTTATAAAAAATTGATACCATCTCTTTATTTAATATTGCCGAAATTACGTACAAGGGGGGTCTGTTGCAATTTCACAATTTCAGGCTGTAATCGGGCCTTCTGCCCTAGAGTAGAAATAAACGATATCTAGGACAAAATATTTCATGTCATTAAATTGCAAGGAAAGTATTTTGGCGATTTATTACGTGGATTTAAAAGAGTACACTTGAATAAAGCACTCATAAATATCTAACGCATATTTTGTATTCTACTGAATTAAATAAATCGTGATCTGACGTGCATCCACTTTGATGGCCTGTAGCTCCAAATGCCCACATAGGATCATGATTTTCAGCATACAAATCTAAGATTGGCACATATATTTGATGTCAATGCAAAAAAATCAATTCCATCTTCATGCTTTCTATTTCCAAGATGATGCACTAAACGCTCATTTAATAAATATTCTAAATAAATAACGATTAACACATATTCACAATTTTCAAGAACTTTGAGAAGTATGTGTTCTATGATACTTTAATACGATCTACACAATGTTAGCAACAATACATATTTGAAATTCTAACTTACTTCTACTGAAAACCTGCTGAACGCTGATTGTATTCTATTCAGTAAAGTAAAGTCTGAGATCGGACATGAAAATTATGGCACGGCGCCTAAGGTATCAACAGATAAACTATTGATTTCAATGATGATTTTTTGCAGCGCATTTTAACAGAAACACAAAACGAAATTGTAGTCCTACACTTTGAAGATGTATTATTTAGTTTCCACACATAGAAAACAAAATGCACAAATGGAAAATGGCCTATGTATACTCTATTTTATTAACATGCTGGAATTTATTTTCCACTACAATATGCTTGATTGGGATTTCATATATTACATCATCCCACAAGCTTCAGAGTGCACTACTTCCTTTGATTATTCATTTTTCTTCAGCTCAAGTGGAAGATGATGAATCAGATAATTACCATAAAGATCCAGACTACATCCCTGATGGTGGTGGTGATGATGATGACAATGAGGACAACAATAAGGATTGTGTTTCTGTTGATTCAGTTTACAATCTAATATTTCTTTTTGATCATTTTTGTAAAGATATTTGTCCATGTACAACATTATTCTTTTCTGATTCATTTTTTTCTTCAGCTAAAGTTAAAGCAGATGAATCAGATGATGACCATGAAGATCAAGACTATGTCCCAGAAGATGACCAAAAAGATCCAGACTATGTCCCTGATGATCTAGATGATCTAAACTATATCCCTGATAACAACAATAACAATGATGTTTCCCTTGATGATGATGACAATGAGGACAACAATAACGATGGTGTTTCTGTTAATACAGTTGAAAATGTAATATTTCTTTTTTTATCATTTTTGTAAAGATATTGTCCATGTACAGGTAGCTGTATCTTCCTTTCAAAACTAGAAAAACAGGAACTCAAAGGAGTAGCAAATCCCACTGAACAAAACATATTATATTGTTTAAGATATTACAAATTTATGCTTATTTTTGATTTTTTCTAAGGGGTCTTCATGAGTGCTATTTAACGAGTATGCCAAAATATGTGAAAATATCTCATTATAAAAGTCAAAATGACATTTGTTAAGAACAACTTTTTACCAAGATTCATATTGTATAAAAATTATCCTCAAATTCAAATCCTTTATGTGATACGGGAAATACTTCATATTTATATTTATTTATTTTTTTATATTTATTTATTTATTGATTTTTCAATTCACCCCTTATAGGGTATAAGAGTACAAAAGACAAACTTAACTAATACAGTAACAAACATTAAAATAACATTTATATACATGTAAGAACATTTTTTGCCCAGCCTCGATTAAAAATTTACAAAGTTTTATGAGTATATTTTTGTTTGAATTCATTAATTTCTCAAACTTCTGTGTGTTGGGTCTTGTGGTATAACATTTAGGAAGGTATCTTTTTCTAATATAACTTAAAGCTTTGCATTCTAAAATGACATGAAGTTCATCACCTATTCCTTTACCACATAAATCACAAAACCTATTTTCCCTAGAACGCAACCAATCAAATCACTAGATTTCTACATAGTATGTGATAAAATATAGTACAATACAATATAGTCATGCAATGAAATCTAATTTGACAATCAATTGAAGAGATAAAATTTACTTGTCCTACTGTAATATCACTTGATAAAATTGCATTTATCATGAAAAAAGATATCAAATCAATTTGGATTATAAAGTCTATTTACCACAAAATTCTTAACATTTCTTGGCTTATTTTATTTAACCATTTATTATTTCAGATTGAAGAACATACAGGAACTGTTAAACACAGTTGATGAATGGCCCCATATTGAACACAGGGGTAGGCCTAGTAAACGTGGTGCTGTCATTGATTGCCTACAGATTTCTAAGGCGTCACTTTCCATCCGAGGCTGACAAGGCAATGAAATGCACTGTGTGTATTGTAGGACTGGTGCTGAACGGAATTATTGTCCGAGCCGTCCGTTTTGCCTTCAAAAAAGGACTTTCGGACCTACCTTCTCATATTCCGATAATTTTCGGAATTTTTATTTTCCTTAAAGAACTCACTTATCGTTATAGCGTCACGCTAACTCGCTATAGCGAACTAGTACTATGAAACGAAATCAATAAATATATAAAATTATTAAACATTTTCACATGGTAAAGTTGTTTTATATGTAATAAATGATGGAAATAAATAAAGTATTATTGTTTTATATATATTCAGTAGGTTTTAAGGTAGGATATTGTAAAAATATTTTAATGTTCCAGGATTTCGTTTCATTAAGGTTAACATTTATAAAGTAGGCATCATGGCGGGGGAAATTTTGAAGTTTGAACTTGTCAAAAAGAAAACATTGGCATGGACCTATTTTGCCCACCCAGTCATTAATATAACAAAACAGATAGATCTAAACCAGTTTGCACACAATGCCACCTGAGTATACCCTACCAAGTAGGTAGATGATCGATTTTTATAGCCTATATGAAGGGATTATGAATGAAGGGATTAATGTCAGTGATAATCCTTTGAAATGGTGGGAGGAGCTTGAGGGTCCTTCCCACACATTGCCAAGTTGGCTAAAATTAGATTGTGTATTCCTGGAACATCTGTCCCCAAGTTCCGAAGTCTGTTCCTAGCCAGACCTAGTGTAATGCTAGTATGCATCTAGTTTGTAGTCAAAAAGGACTTACATATAAAGATAAGGCTGGACGTGAGTCATCAGTTGAATGCAAAGACTGTAATGTTGGATTATGTGTAGAACCTTGTTTCCAATTGTATAATACTACAGATAAGTTTACACTTGCCTACAAACGTCACTATTTCAGCTTCGATCGGAGCCGGCGATATGATTTTGGAAAGGTTTCTAAATGAAGAACATGACGTCACTTCCGAATCATAGCATTCAAAATAAGAACCTTTAAATTACATCCACTCTTCACAAGAACACGATGGTGTAGCGGTAGAATCCTCGGGTTCGAATCCCGCACTCGCCTTTTTATTTTTTTAAATAAACTAGATTGTTCTTTGATATTGCGCAGAAAAAAACAATTTTTATTTACATAAACTTTATATTAGAGCTTGAAAATGTAAAAACAATATATGTCAACATATTGCGTTTGGAGCGATGTGCAGGTTTAACATATCTCAATAAAATTGTGTTTGTTACTGTAATATATGAGTTATGTTGCAGCAATCATCCATCCCGTCAAGTGGCTAAACTATCTGGTAGATCATCACATTCTTGAAGAATGCATGCTTATTTCTAATTGTTAACTAACAGAAGTCATTTTAAGCTTTAATTTAATGTATTATACACCCCATACAGTTAAGATCTCACCGAGTTACATGTAATTTGTTATGATAGTCGAAATTTAGTGAATTTTGCCCAAACAATCCAGTTTTCCGGCTTCAAAAAGCCATAAACAAAGTGGTCCAATGAGGGTTAATATATCCTGAGACTATCATAGACTACTTCTGTTAGACCATTGGAATAGGTTGTGCTTGGGATTATCAGTAAATCTGTATTGAGTTTTGTAATATCTAACAGAATCTCTGGAGGCGAGCACAATGAGTACATTATCTGCAACTTCATTTTTTTGCTGAATTGATTTTACCTGTTAATTAATAACTTAGCATGTTGAGTATTATATTCTAGTCATGTTTGATAGGTGAGTGATGAAAGTTCTAAAATGACATTAGCATTCTAGGTTTTATTTACATTCTTGCAAAATGTGTTTCAATCATGTTAAAGATCAAATGGAGAATATTAGCACAATCAAAGAAAACCTTTAAAATGTTTGATAGTGACTGTATTACAGAATTTCCAAGGCTTACTGAAGACTAGGTCACAAGCCAATCAGTTGCATAAGGCAAATTTTGCACTGAAGAACAAGCTGAAAGTTTAAGTGTACACCAACAAGCGTGTAATGCTTTTTAGCTTAAGTTAGATGGATAAAGTGTCAATTGATGTATAATTTATGTATCATAGCTTGACAATAAAGTATGTAATTAAAAAAAACAAAAACTTTGATGTCATTGTGAAAGCAGAGGGCATTTTTTGAAAAAAGTCAAAAATAATGTGATGTGATAATAGAAATATCCTGCAAGTTGTGTAGGCTTACACCATGGAATTAATCGTTCCTTGGGTTGGGTTCGATTCCCAAACAACTTGATATAGTACTCACATTTATCTTTAATTTTGGCTTTTCATATATATATTTCATATATTCTCATTTCCAATCTTTGACAAAAGTACTTTTAAGTTATCCGATAGATTTTATTATGTTTTAGCTACTCTAAGATGGGTAGGAAACAAACAAAGTTCGTGGGCATATTCTCTCCAACCTCAAACGATGCCACTGGAATCTTGATTGTGATTCTATGTGGACTTGTCACAGTTGGTGGAACCAGGGAGAAAATTTCTAGGGTCCTGATTGCCATGGGTGTAGATGGTTCTGCAGTCATAATCAGGTCAAAGACTGGGGTTGCCAGATTGTGTGAGCTCCTACCAACAATGCACAGTAAATATCTTTTATGTGATAGTGACCAAGTAGAAGATAAAAAACATTTTCTGTTAGACTGTACACACTATATAGATATCAGAGATGACCTATTTTTTTCATATTTAAGAGATTCGTGTGATAATTTTAGTGTTGATAATATTACGCTCAACTCTATAATGACATGTAAATCTAGTCAAAGGAAAATTGCTTCTTCTTTATATAAAATGTTTCAAAAGAGGGCATTTAATCTGGAACGTTTGTAATAACATTGTAATATTGATGCCATTTATGTATTCAAATAAGTGTCTCATAAGCCGGCATCGGCTAGAGGTTTTTTATTAATGTATTTTAGTATTGTATATGTATGACCTGTGACACTATAATAAACTATATAAACTATAATAAAGCATTTGCAGGGTCTTACAATAGGCAATTTTATCCCTATGCTATATTTGCTCGCATTCCTCACCTTCATTCTGAGTTTTAATTGTAATTGTCATTTTATAGTCATTACGTATTCTTCAGTATAATTTTTGATGCCTCTCAATTCAATGTTCTATTCTCATCTTTCTCATCAGCATTGATAACATATGCATATACATGCACACACCCATGTGGGATAAGAATTTAATTGTATTATATTAACATATGCATGCATATGCACACATCTATATGTGATTATTAATTGACTTATTTAGTGGTGAATTTAATACAATTAACCCACCATTGGGTGCATGTAGTTCTTATTGCAATTTATAAAAAAAAATATGAGAAATCATCTTTTTGCTAAAATCCCTAATTAAAATAAGCACAAATCACTTATAACTAATAAATATTTTGATAGTATGAAGGAGGTTGATGACAGTTCCCTTTCCTAGGTCTATTACTATTTTTACCACAACAGTACAAAACAGGATAAAAATCTAAAGACATCAGCCATAGCCACAAGAAGTGCAGAGTCTTCATCTGCATCTTATATTTTTTGTTCAGTTCACAAGAGGTCAGACAGCTTAGACTTTATTTTGTGCTGAATTGATTTACTTCTTAATTAATAACTTAACATGTTGCACATTATATTATATTCATGTTTGATAGGTGATACATGCTCTCCTAAAGATGACACTAGCATTCACTGTTTTATTTACATTCTTGCCAAATATGTTTCGATCATGTTAAGGATCAAACGGAGAATATTAGCACAAGGTCAAAGAATACCTTTAAAT